TTTTTAAGATTTTATTTATTTATTTGAGAGAGAGAGAATGAGAGAGAACACATGAGAGGGGGGAGGGTCAGAGGGAGAAGCAGACTCCCCGCCGAACAGGGAGCCTGACATGGGACTCGATCCAGGGACTCCAGGATCATGACCTGAGCGGAAGGCAGTCGCTTAACCAACTGAGCCACCCAGGCGCCCTTTTTCACTAATATTCTTGGGCCCTGCTTTCTCCATCCATAAAACGAGGTAGTTGTAGATAATCTCAGGAATTGTACTTTATAATTTATAAAGTAATTCTACTTTATAGCTCTGTCTCCTTTTGTTGTTCGTATTTCAAATTCTCAAATCACTATTCTTTTATTTTTGTGAGAAGAACAGGCAATCAGTGTCCAGTTCCCCACAGGTAAATGGCAGCCTTTATTGGAAAAATGTATATGTTGGAAAGACAGCTCTCAACTGTGATGACATAAACAATTGCCACTTTCAAGGACCAATAACTAAGGAATTACAGGAAAACACTGAATCTTCTGCCGCAACCCGAGATGGCCTGAGTACAAAGGATATTTATACAGTGAGTTTCAGAAGAATAATTCAAATGCACAAGAGCCTCATCTTGTAATGTTATCACAAGAATGTCCAGACAATGTTTTCTTTAACTCCAGGAAGAGCAATTTAGAAGGCTAGATCCTGCCACATGGGTCCAGCTGCATGTTTAATACTCTTGGAAAAAATTGTTCTATAAACACAGAAATCACCAAGTACAGAGGCTTGAAGGATATTTCTTTCTTTGCTTACCGTTTTCAGAACCTTGTATACACAAGAGCACAAAATTAATAAACACTATCAAATTTGCTGTTATCATAAACCAGGCAGCAATATTTTATTTACACTACAGGCTATCCTGGAATTTCACTCTTAAATGGTTTGAAAGCACTGAACATCGAACCAAGTGTAATTAGAGTTCGCGAAACATGGCTCAGAGTTACATAGTCAGTCTCCCTAGTGAACAATTTGTAAAACTTTTCACTTTTAGCAAATTAAATATTGCCACTTGAGAACATATTCCTGAAGAAGACTGCGTCTGTGTTTTTAACACCCCGGGGGCACATCTGCCCACCAAGTACGCCCACGGCCTCATTCTTTCCAGCAGTTCCAGCATGCTTGTATGGGGCCAGCACTTGAGGCCAAGAAGCTCCTCCCACCTCCCTCCACACCCTCCTCATTCCCCACCCCCACCCCCATCCCTGCACACTCTGTGCGCACCCTGGAAAAAATGCAGGATGACTGGCACGGAGATGCATTCCTTTTCCTCTCTGAAAGGCTTGAGATGTTTTCTAGAGGGCCATTGGCCATGGTCACTGCGTTCCCCACTGCGTGATAATCTGTTCTTGGGAGCGAGGCTTCCCCTTTATCCTGCTGTCTGAATACCTGCGCAGCGGAAGGATAATCTTTTCATAGCGGAGAAGTGATCCGCCCCCGGGGACATAGGGCAGTTTTTCTAGTGCAAGGGCAGATTGTGCTTCCCAATGTCACATCAAAGTCAAGGGGAATGTTCTTTTGGCCTCTCAGGTTTACCAACTCCCGACACCCCCTCCCTCTGGTCGCTGTGGTTTCTTACTCTTCAAATTTATGCATCATAAAGGGGAGCTCATGGAAAATCTTTTTACAGAAATGAACATATTGTTCCAACCCGGCCTGTCTATTTTGGGGGCAGCGAGAAAGGGACTATGTAAGGCAGCATCACGTGTTTGAAGCGGACACACAGCCCTGCCAGGATGAGAGCTCTAATGCCGGCTCACCCTGAATCCAGAGCCCACGTAGCTTTCTGTGATGGGGTCAATAGTGGGGACTTTGAAGGAAGTGAAATGCGTTCAAACAACAAACTGCCCCCAGGCTAATTTTTTTTTTTTTTTGTAAGTATCGCTGAAAATCACAACTGTTGAAAGGGTGAGTTTCAGGGGCACCTGGGTGGCTCAGTCGTTAAGCGGCTGCCTTTAGGCTCAGGTCATGATCCCAGCATCCTGGGGTGGAGCCCGGCATCGGGCTCCCTGCTCATTGGGGAGTCTGCTTCTCTCCCTCTCTCTCCCTCTGCCTCTCCCCCCAGCTCATGTTCTCACTCACTCTGCTCTCTCTCTCAAATAAATAAATAAATAATCTTAAAAAGGGGGTGAGTTTCAGTTCTTCACCCAGAAGGGATCCCATCCCTTGGCTAAAGGTGACAACAGACAGCAGGACGACATCGTGAGGATGCTCACAGGAACCTGCTCTTTCTCTTCTTGTCGACAGGCTGTTGAAGAGCCGGGCGTCACGATGACCGAGCGCTTTGACTGCCACCATTGTGAAGAATCTCTCTTTGGCAAGAAGTACATCCTGAGGGAGGAGAGCCCCTACTGTGTGGCGTGCTTTGAGGCCCTCTATGCCAACACTTGCGAGGAGTGTGGGAAGCCCATCGGCTGTGACTGCAAGGTACCCCTGGGCCTCCCCCGGGTAGCGCCCGCTACTCCGGGATCCCTCAGTGCTCCCCAGAAACCATGGGTTTTTGTGTGGTTTGTGCCGAAGCTCTGACCCTTAGTGCCTATTTAATTCCGTCTCTGATGGGCTTCTCCCCTCCGGCCAAGAAGCCTTTCGGAGCCTCCTCCCTCCACTCCTAATTCTGTAGCACTTGGTGAGTGCATTTCCAGTACGTTCACGCTGTGTCCTGAGCACACCTCTTACGTTCTGGTTATTGGTGTCCTGATCGAACACCCCACCCCCACCCCCACCACCTCCCCAGTGAAGGTGTGGCTTTCTAGAGGGCAACGCCGTCTCACTCGTGTTTGCCCTGTGCTGACTCAGGAGTAGCAGGTGCCCCTGAGTAAATACTGGGTGAGTGACCCAGAACGGATTCCCCGATAAATGGGCAGGTAAAGCACTGACTTCATTGGAACATTAGGGGCTCTCTTCTTCTCAGTGGGGGAAGATCAGGATTGGTAGCATTTCTTTTTCAAGGGGAAAGGCTCATGCCTAAGGGATGACCAGCTTTCCCTCTGTGGATGGCAACAACAGGTTCAGAGGAGGCTGCAGGCCATTCGTGCTGACTGGCCGGGGTTGAGTGCTGAGGACCCTGGCCCGTGCTTCTCAGCACATCTTAGTCCAACCTGGACCACCCAGAAGTCCCCCTGGAAGTCCGCCCCTGTTGCTAAGACCTCTGATATCTTCACCTGCTAACCAGTTGCTAAGACACACTTGATAAGACTTTAAGGGGCTGCCCTCCTCGGAGCCACAGAATTGGTACACACTGGGGTCCCTTGGGGAGCTCCAAAGGAGTCCCCAGCTGAACAGACTTCAAGGCGATTCGGGGCATCTTGGTGTCTCTTTGCCGCTCTCTTCCCTTGCACTCTGCAGGGAGCTTTGCCACTCTCCTCGTGGTCACAAACATCAGTACGTAGCTGCTGCCCGACGGGTCAGGCCGTGCCTGCATCGGGCGGTTGTGACCCAGCCAGTGCGCGGGTGTGACGTTTTCTTTCCTCTGTCACATCATTCCCAGGAAAGGCCGGAAGCGGAGGGCCGCACCGTCCGTTTCTGCTGCTGGGTATTTGGTGACAGTTGGGGAATAACTTCCATCCTGTGTAGAGGACAGCCTTGGCCCCGGGCAGAGACAAAGGCTCTGCAGCCTGGGCCACTTGAAACCAGGCTGCAGCCACGTAACTTTTGGCCACGGAATTGGGGAGGCCTGCCTAAAAGAACCCGAGCAGCTGCAGTCCTGTGTAAACTTCAGAACGTGCGGAGGTGGGGCTGCCCTGAGCAAAAAGTGGCTGATCTGGCTTGTCTAAAAAGCGAGATACTGTCCGGTCTCTAGCGCTGTCTCATGTATGTGTCACTGTCCCTCGTGGGTTCTTGGAAGGCTCTTGGTCCCTGTTCCTTTATTTCTGAGGCCAGGCATAAATGCTCCGACCCCAAACTGCCCGGTTCTAGTCCTGGCTCTGTGTCTCACTGGCTGTGTGAGCTTGCGCTGATTACTTGATCCCTCTGTGCCCATCTTCCCCTTTATGAAATGCAGATAAAACAGGTGCCAGCGTGATGAGGTTATTACCTCAGGTGGATCCCAAGCCAGAAACCATGGGTTTTTGTGTGGTTTGTGCCGAAGCATTCCGAATAGCAGCCAATGGTCTCGTAAACTCCATCTGACTACTTCCCTATTCTTTCTGCAACACGTTCCCTCCACACACCCCCTGGGAGCTTTGCCCTCCCTCTAGGTCAGTTTGCATTGTGGGAACATCAATAAAAATGTCTGGTTTGAGGAAGAACCAAGAGACAGAGGGAAAAAAAAATGATCTCTTATAAAAGTTTAACCTGGAATGGGCTTAAGTAGGTGAAAGGCTCAGATATTTGGACAAAGAACAACCCTGGTTTAGAGGACACGTTTTGGATATTTGGGGCTAGTCATCCTTGACCGGTGGCTAAAGTAAAAACAAAAGAGCAGTCCCTTCTCATTTCTCCAATACGATTTAGTGCAAAGACCCTTAAAACTAGTTACCCTTCGGCACACACTTGATGAGCAGATAAACAAGAATCCCCCAAACGGGGCCAAAATCAACAAGACTGCTGCAAAGCTAGGCGTTAATCATGCTGAACTTTTCAACCCCAATTCACGTGTTACTATACGTGGAATTATGCCATGTGGCTTTCTGCATTGTGGAAGGAAAAGGGATGCTTCCTTGAAGTTCGCCTTGGCTCTTTGGGACTCTTGAATATTTGGAATGGTTTGCTCCGCTGTCAGAAGTCATTATGTCATTGACTTTGGCGAGGAAGCAATGATAGGAAAACATTCCTGTTATTTCAGGAAGTAAAGCCCCAAGTCCTGGCAGGTGGGGCACTCAATAGAGCCACTTGAGCTGGCAGATCTGGTGGCCCTTCCCTTGCCTTAAAATAGAGGCACCAGGAGCCCTGCTCAGCGTCTCCTCTGAAGGACACGTGAGTGTGTATAGATTTAAAATCTTGGCACACCAGTGGGAATCAGGCTCATTTTGCGGGTACTGAGAGACTTTTATGTGATATAGTTGGGACTTCAGGACCTGTTTCGATAATTAGCTCACATAGGTTTGAAAACGTTTCTATGCACTTAGTTGTATTTGCCATTTCTGTTTAGTTACTCTGGGGAGATGTTGTGCTCTCAAAGGGGAGAAATTATTCATTTTAGGACCAGTGGAATAGGTGAGAACAGGTAATGCAAATAAACTTTCATGCTCCTCTAACATTACCCTGTTCCTGAAATTTTTCTTGGACCTCTGTGGATACTAGAAAAAAAAATTTTTGGCCCGATGACAGATATTTTCGGATGGTTCTACTTATGTTCTTGGCTTCAAAAAAATCAAGAAACTAAGGAAAATGTAGGCGAAGCCCATAACTCGAGACAGCTGCTAGTACTGTGCACTTCACAAATCAGGGACTTGAACAAACTCTGGGCTGCATGGCTAGCTCAGTGTGTTTCTAGAACATACTTTCCAGCTTCTGAGTAATTAAGTGGGAAACATCGAATTGATAATCAGTTTGGCACAAGCCCACCCACCAAACTGTAAGTTTCTCAGCGAACGTCTGTAAAGTTCTCAAGGATCAGAAAATCTCTGGGGTCCTTGGGCTGAAAATAGCCAGGGGACTGAAGGGGAGGCAGAGGCTCTTACCCCTCCATGTGAAATCCAGCTGTCTCTGCTGTACTTCTAGAAGTCTCCTGACCACGGCCGGTGTAGGCGTGAGGTCCGATCAGAAACACCTGTTCGTCCTGCCCTTGAGCAGGACGCAGGCCTCCCCCCGCCCCACCTCTGGGCCGTTGTGGGAAAGGCTACTATTCCAGACACGTACCAGACACGTCCTCACAGTCCAACTCCCGCACCCCGCACTTTTTTATTTGTGGAGGTGCTTTTTAAGTGCTTAGTGAGTGAATTGTCTTTTTAGAGTTTCCATGTAATTTGTCCGCAGAGTTTGTAATGAGCACTGAAAATATGTCTGTTTATTTGGACATCCTCCCGTAAGAGAAAAATCTGTTTCTAGAGGGAAATGAAGGAAGCAGGATCCTCAGAGCTGGGAACGAGGCTGACCAAGTGGGTCACACAGGAAGGGCTTCTAAGGCCCTGAAAAACCAAAGGGGCACACCACTCAGCAGCGATACCTCCCCCTGCCAACGTGGGCCTCGAGCCACACGTGCCTGGGTCCACCTTCTGTCAGCTGAGGCGTAGAGACCTTTATGTCTCCTATAAGCCTGTGTTTCCATGTCTGGAACCGGGGTGGCCTGCCTCACAACTGTCGCGGTAATTGAGTTACCACGTTTGGGACACCTGAGATGGGGCTCCACAGAGCGCGTGTTATCTTTTCTGCCACCATCCTTCTTCGGGACCTTTGTTCTTAAGTATTTGAAGGAACATGCAGTTGAAAACATGATACCCTGGCAGTCTCAAATCATTGGGTATCTGTTCAAAGTACGGAGCGTGAAGGGCTCTGAGCATCTATTTATCAAGTTAAATCGCGGGGATTTGAGGGGGGTGGGTTTGGGAAATCCGCGTCTGAACTTCCCCTAGCCCAGGAGGGGTGGCCTCAGCACCAGCCTCAGTCCAAGCGACCCTGCTGCCCCCGCCCCGGGGGGGGGCCCATCTTCAGCTAGCCCAAGGCTCGAGGGTCCTGCCAGCCACCTGCTCGTCCCCCTGGCTCAGCTGGAGTCTCAGGGCAAGTTCGGAGCCAGGCAACAAGGGCTTCCCATATTAGGAATGTTTCTGAAGTGGACAAATAATGAGATCTGAAAGGAAGTGTTCGGGCCTAATCTTACATTGTTTATCAACATTTTACTGCAATTTATGACATTTCCATGAGCACAAAATTAGCCTTGGTATGTTTTCTGGGATGTGTAAAAGATCTATCCTTTCTTTCTCTCTCTCTTTCCTTCTCCTTCACTCTCTCTAGAGGACTTTAAAACCACGATGTTTCAAGGACATTTTGAGGTTCTTCAACGTCAGTGAGTCTATACTTCTTAACCTTGTACCTCCAGCATTGAAATTGTGTCCTTGGTGTACTAGATACATAACAGAATTAAGCTAGATGGACTAGTTGGTCCTAAGAACGAAAACTAACCATCTCTCTGGAGCTGTGCACGCAAGAAAGGAGAAGGGCCTCTAGGTACCAAGACTTTAGGAGAAGGATTCAGCGTGACGTGAAGCTCGGGGCCAGGCACGCGGGTGTAGTCTGCTGTAACAGCCTCGGGGCCTTTGGGTGGGTAGTTGCCAGCCCACCTCTCAGCTCCGGGGGCTCCTGTGCTAAAATCCTGCCCCACGCCGAGATGCAGAGGAGAATGTCGTCTTGGCCAGAAGCCTCAGCATGCCCTCAGAAAGCCGAACCGGCAGGGTTTAGTTGCTGTCCTCTTGCCATAAAGTCTTTTCTCGCTTTCTCTCTATTGTGGGCTTTCTTAAGAAGTGAGTCCAAGAGGAAGCTGGGACATGAATTTATTAGCTTAACTCCGACTTCCAAAGAGAGCACAAGCTGGGAGCCCAAGAAAGAGAATTACAGGGAAACCTGATAGCGGAATGAGTTGGATAAGGCTTGCCATGCAGGATTTTGAAAAAGCTGTTGACACAGGCGTGTGGCCGCAGCGGGCTCGCTGGGGGCGGGCATGACCCCCTCCGGCCGGGGCAGCTCACAGAGCAGGTGGCATGCGGGCTGGGCCTTACAGCTGGGCGGGGTTCTGCCAGTCGGAGAGCAGGGGAAGGGCCTTCCAAGGCCAGGCCCTGTGTGGGCCGCGGCGCAGAGGTGTGACGGGCTGGGCGCTGGGCTTCGGAAGGTCCGGAAGGCTCACATTGGTGCCTGAGGTCTAGGGAGCCACGCGGCTGGTACCCCGAGCAGGGAGGAGCACGTTCTAGTGTCGTGACTGCCAGCACATCAGCTGAACCCGTAGCTGCCATGCTCTCAGGTTCACTGGAGGAAGAATGGGTGTCTGCGGTGCTTCCGACCCATGAGAACATTGAAACGAGCTTTTCCACGGCTGTCCATGCACGGCGACCCCTCCGCCATTCTTTCCTCCCATCTGGGGCCTCGCTAAGCGGGGTGGAGGCCGTGGGGACATCTGGTGGCTTTGCTGTCACGATGTCACCCGTAGAAGTTTCTCCCTCAGTTTTTTGAAGATCAGCCTGGGAAGGCAAGTTTCCTTGAACCCGTATTTCCGTTCCTTCTTGTCTCACTAACACGCTGTGTAGCCTGTCTGTCGATGCCGATGTCCTGGGCAGAGCCCACACGCAGTGCGGGGCCTGAGACGGCCTCCCCTCGGCCCTCAAGCCCTCCCTGGGTTTCTCTTCTCAGCCAGGCGGTGGGCGAGTCACGGAGCACGGAAAACGCTTGCAGCTTTTCCACAGGGTCAGTCCTGCTGAGGTGTCTGGTCTGCACAGAGGGCACCCACCTAACATCTGCAAAGGCTTTTCCACCTGCTGTGTAATAGTCAAAACCTAGTTTTTTAGTTGCGCTGAAATACGCATAAGCTAAAATATACCATCTGTGCCCTTTAGAAGAGTGCAGGTCAGTAGCACCACACGCATTCACACTGCTGTGCGGCCAACCTCCCAGACTCTTCATCTTGCAAAATTTGAAACTCTGTCCCCAGGAAAGACTAACTCCCCGCTCCCCTCCCCCAGCCTCTGGCTCCCACCACTCTACTTCCTGTCTCTGCATTGGACTACTAGGTACCTCGTCCAAGTGGACTCATACAGTATTCGTCCCTTTGCATCTGGCTCATTTCACTGAGCGTAATGTCCTCAGGGCTCCTGCACGTTGTAGCACGTGCAGAATTTCCTTGCCTTTTTGAGGCTGCATAATATTCCCTCGTGTGTACGTACCACATTTTTCTTTCTTTCTTTTTTTTAATATTTTATTTATTTATTTGACAGAGAGAGAGGGAACACAAGCAGGGGGAGTGGGAGAGGGAGAAGCAGGCTTCCTGCTGAGCAGGGACTCTGACGCGGGACTCAAATCCAGGACCCTGGGATCATGACCTGAGCCGAAGGCAGACGCTTAGTGACTGAGCCATCCAGGCGCCCCATACCACATTTTTCTTATCCGTGCATCCGTTGATGGACACTTGGGTTGCTTCCACTTTTTTTGGTGCCAGTGGATAATGCTGCTATGGATACAGGTGTACAAATTCCTGCTTTCGATTCTTTATGCATATATCCAGATGTGGCATTGCTGGATCATATGGTAATCCGATTTTTAAGTTTTTGAGGAACTGCCAATACTGTTTTCCGTAACAAAAAAAAATGTTAAATGCATTTATTCTGATTCCATTATCACACTGATCATGATCAAAAACTCCCAACTCTTCTTAAATGAGCCTGACTCCCGTTCTTATCTGATAGGACTTTAATGGCTTGTTTGACTTTATTCAAAGTCTCAACAAAGACAGTGCTGAGCTGCATTCATTTACGTACAAAATGTGGCATTACTTCTGAATGTTTTCAGTGGATATGTACAGATCTCGTCAAGGGTACAGTTTTTGAAAGCAAAGAGTAACGCAGGCTCGACCAGGAGTTTACCTGGAATGGCTCACTGCAGATAGCTTTTGAATCTGAGGGACATGAACTTGAACCTTGCTTGGCTCAGCTACGTGCGTGCCCGGGTGTGACTGTGGGCATGTCACTGAGCTTCCGTAATAATACTTACCTTGCAGGGCTGTGCAGTGCCTGAACTCACAACCTGGCAATGAGTATCACGGTTGGTGTCCCAGAAAGAGAAAAATAATGATTTCTTCCTGAAAAACACGGGCTTCACAGTTTATGATGAGTTTGCCTATATAGTCGCTAACTCAAATTCTAACAGTTTATACTTTGTTTCCTTTGTCAAAATAACCAGCCGGGCCGGGTGATTTTTTCCTCTCCCATTTCAATAGTTCGTCCCCTCTCTGCTGCCTTCAGGATCATCTTAACCTCCTCCCTTCCGCCCCAGCCTGGACTTGGATTCCCCCGCCGGGCCCTGGGCTGTCCCTCCCGCCTGACCACACCTCTGCCAGGAACCCCTCTCTCTCACACCTCTGCTGTGCTCATGCTCTTTCTCTGCCTGAAAAGTCCCTCTCCGGCCCCCTCTGCCCACCTCCCTGCTGTCCAGGGGCCGTCCACACCAGAAGTCTCTCCTGACCCCTTCCCTCCAGCTGAAACCAGAGCCCTGTCCCTGTCCTCTCTGAAATGCCCTGTGCTCTGAGCCATGTGCTCTGTTTCTCTCTCACCAGTTGCCAACGAGAAGCAGTAACGAGTTGCATGTTCTGTGTTCCTCTTCCTTACAGGTCACACCTAAGGGAAACCCATGTGTTTTCGGAAAACATCTCTTTCTCACACACAGACACACACACACACCCCCCCCCCCCCCCCCCCCCCCCCCCCCATCTAAATGGTCACTCCGAAATGCAGCCGGAGGAAAGCAGCCCAGCCCTCCTCATTTCACCAGCAAGGTCAGGGTCCAGGCACGCCCACAGGCCCTGGGCCACGCTCTGCTCCCTGTCTGCCCCGGGTGTGTAGGACTCCCCTGGGCTGTGGGTCAGGCACAGCAGCCGCGACCCCCACCCTGACCCACTCACTGTGTCACATGCTCTGAGTCTGCAGGACTTGTCCTACAAGGACCGACACTGGCATGAGGCCTGTTTCCACTGCTCGCGGTGCAAGAGCTCGCTAGTGGACAAGCCCTTCGCTGCCAAGGAGGACCAGCTGCTGTGCACGGGCTGCTACTCCCACGAGTACTCATCCAAGTGCCAGGAATGCAAGAAGACCATCATGCCAGGTCAGGACGCGCCCTGCCCCCGCGGTGCCGCAGAGCACGCTTGCACTTTTCTTCCCTTCCACTTGCTGAATCCGTGCTTGGTGGGCTATTTCAACAAACGGGCATTGTGCCCGCTGTGCGCCCGGTGCTGGGCTGGGAGCCGGGGGGTTAAGGAGTCGTGAGGGGAGAGCACACCCCGTCCCCTGTCCTCCTGGACTCCGTGGTCTAGACAGACGTTCATTCTCAACAGACCCAGACTTGATCACAGCTGGGTCAAGTGTTAAACGAGTAATAAGGGTGACTTGCTGGTATGGGGAGGATGGGACGGTGTCCCTTGTTTCTTGGGCGAAGTTGGCTTGTTCTCTTTTGTGGGAGAGAGGAAGCTCTTATTTTAAAACACTGAGTGAACAAAAGTATATAGACTTTTTAAATACGGCATTCAAAAAAGTCTTGCTAGGCACATCCAGAAATGAGGGCAAGGAGAGGAATCACCAGGAGTGAAGCATGAAGCAGTGGCCAGGCCCCTGGCACCCAGTCACGTGGCTGGGACGCAGCCTGCCGTGAGGCCTTGGAGAGACGTGGCCCTGAGGCCCCCGTCGGCGGGTGCTGGCAGAGCTTCTCCCAAATCAGGCTCAGGGTGGCAGCAGGGGCGCCAGTCAGGCCCGCCTTCCAGATGCCGAGAAGCCCCGGCCAGCTGGCCGATGCGCCCCACATCGCCCGGGAGGGTGCCTACCTTCAAAACAGCCGCTGAGGAGGCAGCGGGGAAGCATCTTTCATCCCAGGGAGGTTTAGAGTTAAGGGCAGACATAGGAAGAAATCTAACGCACAGTAATAATGTGTTCAATCTGATGAAGTAGCTGTGAAGGTTTAAAAAAGTGGTCTGAAGAGTAAATTAAAGTGCACGTGATTGAGGCTTGTGATTTCAAATGGGAATTTCCTTAATTTATCACCTGTCGTGATGTTCAGGGTATCTTACGATTCGTCATATTCACAAGCTTAATTCGTTTCAACAACAATCACTTAAGGACTTGAGGTTTGGTGTATTGGTTGAGGTTTTTTAAAGGGATATCAAGTATGTGAAGCGTTCAAGTGTAGTTTTAAAGGAGCTGAGGTGTGGGGGCACCTGAGTGGCTCAGTCGATTGAGCATCTGACTCTGGATTTGGGCTCAGGTCATGATCTCAGGGTGGTGAGATCGAGCCCCATGTGGGGCTCCACACTGGGCATGGAGCCTGCTTGAGATTCTCTGTCTCCCTCGCCCTCCGCCCCTCCCCCACGCGTGCATGTGCACACTCTCTCTCTCTCTAAAAAAATAAAATCAGGGGCACCTGGGTGGTGCAGTTGGTTTAGCGTCCGATTCTTGGTTTGGGCTCAGGTCATGGTCTCGGGGTCGTGGGGTTGAGCCCTGCGCCAGGCTCCAAGCTCAACGAAAAATCTGCTGGAGTTTCTCTTTCTCTCTCCCTCTGCCCCTCCCTATGCACACATGTGTGCTCTCTCTCTGAAATTAATAAAGCTTTAAAAAAATTAAATTAAGGAAAAAAAGGAGTTGAGGTCTGTACTTTAATAAATAGAAGCAAACACAAAGCTCCTGGGTTCATGCTGAAGTGTGACGGGAATTAGGGCTCCCACGGTCATTTAGAGCCAGACCCTTTAGTGGAAGAGTGCTTTGCCGTAGCCCGGAGTTTTCCTTTTATTTTTGGTTTGCTTTGTTTTTGGCAGTGAAGAGATACTGAAGAGTTTTTGAGCGAGAGACTGACGTATGGGAAGTGTTATTTTAGGGAGCTGTATTGGATAAGAAAGAATACGTTTTAAAAAGGCAAGGGCATAATAAGGCCTTCAGGAAGATGACTTCTTACTGCTGCTACATTTCGCTGCTTAATACATCTTGAAGATAGCTGACTCCGCACTATTACAAGGAACAAAACCCCCAGACCAAGGCCTCTTACAGAGTTGCGTCAGCATTGCAGATGGGGGACAAGGGCCCAGCGTGGGGGCCGTGAAATTAGAACCAAAGCCCGCGGAAAGCCGGGCTGACCCCTGGTCCTATGCCACAGAGAGTCACCCACGGAGACAGAGTGGTCCCGACACAGTGAGAACCACAAAATTAATTAAAAGCAAATTAAATCTTTACTGAGTTTTCATGACAAGAGCCCAAGGGAGTTTCCGTTCTGCCTCATAGCCGACTCTCTCCATCCCCTTCCACACTTCCCTGGGTCCCAGGCTGCCAGAGACCCCTGCTCCCCTACAGCGGGCTCTTGGGGCCCACTTTCTTCTTGCTCACTGCCTTTTGTTTGGTTTTGCTTGCTTGCTCGTTTGCTCCCCCTCAGCAGTGCTCTGACCTTTTGCAAGGAACTCCTGCCGGCCCGTCTGCATCCCCCTGCCCTCCTCAGCAGACCTGGAGGACCAAGTGGGGACAGGCTTCCGCCACGCTAGAGCTCTGGGGTGCAGGGGGAGGTCACACATATACCTGGCACCTGCGGGCCCGGCTGCGGGCCCGTCTGCGGGCCCTTCAGACAGCTGAGCAAGTTTACTGTTTGGATAGTGCAAACAGTAGATAGATAGTAGATAGAGCGCCCCCCACCCTGCCCCCCCGCCCAGCTCAGGCACTTGTAATGAGAAGCAGCCAAATCACACACCACGAAATTCTAAGAGCATTGACAGTTTTACGCTTAAATGACCTTAAAGTTCACCTGTCTTGTCTCAGCGGCGAAGAGACCAGAAGTTTCGGCGGCGGGCCCCTTGCTACAGTCAGTGGCCCGGCCAGGATTAGGACCTTGTCCAGTGCTCTGGTCTCAGAGCTTCGATCTGCCTTCTCAACTAGGTGAGAGAAGGTGGACCAGGAGCTGGCGGGTATGGATGGTGGTGAATTCAGAAGGTGGAGTAATGGGACACACAAGACAAACTTCACGGAATGGGGTGCTACAGCCTCCCTAGAAGGACGACAAAACAGCAGTGTTGGCATCATGTCCAGTTCAGCAGCTTGGTGTAGTCCAAGTGCCTTGGACGCGGGGCCAGCAGGCTACGCAGGCGGGGGGCCTCCCTCTTTGCTGCGCAGTAACCGTGTGAGCATAGCCACTTGCAGCTGGGGGAGCCTTGGCCACCCCGCCCCCTGCCAGTCTGAGTCACTTTAAATTCAAAAGCAGCCCTGCAAATGTCATTTTCCCACCGTAGTGTCTGTCCCGGCATCCCCCTCACTGTGGCGCTCCTTCCCTGAACCAGCAGTTCTCAGGGAAAACCTAGAAACTGACAGGTTGGGGTTTCAGCCTTCCTGTTTTCTGGCTTGGACTTGTCACCGGTCACCGCCCCTCACTGAGCCCTCCCTAGGGAAGCCTGGCTCATACCCGCCATGATGGAGGCGCAGGCCCAGGGCAGCGTCGGGAAGGGACCCTGGGGAGGTCACATTTGAGCAGGCTTGAAGGATGAGCTGGGTTTCACCCGATGCAGAAGTCCCAAAAGGGCACTTCTGGCAGAGGACATGGGCTCAGTGCCCAAGGCAGAGTGTCTAGAAGAAGCCTGGTGAGACAGATTAAGAC